AGACGAGTGCCCGCCGACAGTGGGCCAGCCGACCGCCGAGTCCTGTGAACCACTCCACCCCTCTTATCTATGCCTCAGCTCTGTCCGTACAGAGCGGGCTGTGACATGAATACCATAGCGTGATGTGACTCATGACGACAAAACAAGGTTTGTGGTATGACATAATTTTATGCTGTGTGTCCACATACCTGGGTAAATTAATGCTAGTTATGTATCTGAACTGTCGAGCACAGCCAGTCAGTGAAATAAACCTGATCACGGGGCTTCGTGTCATCATTATCGTCCGTAAGACAATACACGTAACGCAAAAGTTAGTTGCCCGAGGCGAGCTGCGAATTAGAGGTTGCCACGCCAGAATGTCATGTTTGAATCGATCTGCCAGCAGTGGTGCTAAGTTTAGTTCATTGCTGACTACGACGCATCTTACTCCTCAGGCGAAGTCTCTATTCCCGTCTTACGACCAGTACACGTCTGTCTGTTTGTTGTGATGTGTTGCAAAGAAAACTGACAGCAGAAGTAGTAGATCCACCACATCTCTGCACCAACCAAAACATGAAGTGAATCCAATTGTTGCGTTAGGCACTAATAACACTCATGAGTCATGGACAATATCCAGAGGCTAGCTGCTGATGGACACATGGAAGCCTCCACTTCGCCCCTTCAGACAGTTCAGTGTCTCATCGCCAAAGGGAGGGGAACAAAACGCTCCGACGTAAGCTTAATCGCCAAATACTATAATCTGGTGTGGACGGACAGCTAAGCAAATCAAGTCACATCAGGACAATCCGACATGCTATCAGTGGCTCAGGACAGACGATGTCCAGTGGACACTTGAGGGGAATCGCAAGGAACTCGATAATGCTGTGATGTTTTCGTAGCAGTCGAGTGTTAGACGTGGTGTTGTTATAGCCCCGTCTCTTAACTGATAGTGATGCTACACGTTGGCCACAGGTACGGAGACAGAGACATAAGATGTACTAAACAGCCACTCCACCCCTTGCTATTTCTCAATATTCGCCTAATAGGCCCAATAGTAATACGCATGCGGTGTGTAGAAGAAACGCTAACGGTTCCCACGATCGAGTCGAGGCAGATACATGTAATGCGCGTGTGGCAACGCTGCACGTAACCTACCACGTTTTTTGTGTATTTTGCAGCTGTTCTTTGATTAAAATGCACCTAGAATAACCACTGAATCACTGGTATTTTGCTTTGCAAAAAAGGCCCATATACGCTCAGTTCAGAATGTGAACATCTCCTCTAGAAACGGAGTCGTTTCCGACGGATGAATCAAAACGAATCACCCATCAGGGCTCTCGGCTTATCCACGCCAAGCGATACGCCAGGGGGTGTGATTTGAGAGTATCTTGTCCACAGTGCCCGTTGGACTGTACGGTAGCAAGGTGTGAGAATGGGCGGAAACTCGGGGAAGCGCGTGTGAAAACTGCGAATGCTCCGCACAAAATACTCGCCCGGCGACGTTATCTCGCTCAGGTCACGACACGAAGGTAAATTGACGACCCGGCTAACGCATCACGTCGAACCGCCCGAGGGCAAGACGTGATAAAATTGTTTCAATTTCGTCAGCAGGTCCAAGATAGAGACAGTGAGATACTGTGCCAGTGTGGAAAAGGCCTGGGCCAAAGCAAACCGTGACTCGCTCGCAGCGCAATCAGCTGATATGACAACAGTCTACTGTGTCATTTTCTCACACAGCCAAACTGGTATGATCCCAGTTGATTCCGCATTATATTCGCCATGCATTCCATCTGATACTATTCCATCAGGCTGAGGAAAGTATGATTTCGCCCAGGTACATGTACATGACTACACTGTAGTACACTATACACCATGTACCATGGCATGAGTATGGACTCGCAGAGCACGCCGTTCACTTATCTCGTGTCATAATCCGCTGTCTGCTGAGTACAGAGTCTGGTAGACGTCAAAAAGGAGTGGCTCCTATCTGGGATGGTCTCGGCCAGGCAAAATGAGTACAATCATGTACATATGTACATGCACATGGAGATTTCTATGCAGTTACAGCACCATCCCATGTACCATGTCACTTGTGCTTGAGGCGAGATACAAAATCTACATAATTATATGACTGGTTAAGTCAGGGTGTCACCCAATCACCACGCCATCGAATCCGGCCACAAGATTATCTAATTGTACAGTAAGATCGGGCGCCGAAGAACGCAGGGGCTCGAGCGCAGCCTAGGAAAGTTCTTAAATTTTTGATTCTAGCCAGACCGTTCCTAATAATCTTATTCACGCGGCGAGTCGAGTGACGTCATGACGTTTGTCATGTACATGTACGCGTACATGTACATGTACATGTACATGTAGTGCAATGTAGTACAGTCCGTATCGCCTATAAGGTTGGCGGCTATAGTAATATACCGGATATAGTGATCAATTTCTCAAATTCATTTTCATTTGCCATAACTAAGTATACACAGTTATCGCATAATTATAGTAATAATCGTCTATAGTAATATATCGCCTATAGTAATCAAATTCATATTTCAAAAGACGTTTATTACACTATTTTTGCATTGGTTATAGTGATTGATGTAAAATCAAGCGATGTCAGAGGAGAACAGGGTGTTACTTCTTCGTGAAGAACTTGTCCAGTGAGTGTTGTTTGGTGAGTTTTGCTGTTACAAGTTGCCAAAATATGCCTCCATCATGAGGAAATCCTGATTTTGTGTGTCAGGAGCTACAGCCAGCTACATGACATTGTACATGTATGTAGTGCGTATGTGCACGGCGCGCTGAGTCGTTTGACACCCCACTCGCATACATTGCATGCAGTATCGGTCATAGTAATATATCGCTTATAGTGATAAAATGCTCAAAATCAAACACCAACGCTATAGGCGATACTGACTGTACTTCTAAACTAGTGGTAGTAGTGCCTAGTGGGTGTCGTAAAATTTAATACTGACTGTACATGTAGCTTTTTTTTTACGGGGTAACGGCCTCTTTTACGGGCAAAATGAAGTCATGTAGACGTGAAAAAAATTGAGATACCATGAAAGTTAAAAGCAGTTATGTTTACACGTGTACATGACATGTACTCACCTCCCATACATGTACAATGTAGATCTACGTACAATGTAGATCTAGTGTTCTTAAATCTGATAATTCTAGCCTGGACTGTTCTTAAATTTTGCCGGTTTTCCAGCCTGGGTGTTCTTCGGCGAGGTGTTCTTCGGCGCCCGATCTTACTGTAATGCAATAGGACGTCCACCAACACACGTACGTATGCGCCATGCACATGTAGACATGTGGTGGTGGTGGGGGGGGGGGGGGGGGGGAGGAGGACGGTGCCTGTGGAGTCCTGAAGGCTAGCTGGTCAGAGGTGGTGGTGGTGGTCTCTGCAAACCTGCGGTGTCTGACTTCTAGTTATACTGTACCGAAGTTAGTCAGAGGCAGTGCGATGGCTAGCCGAATGTGTGCGTCTGGAAAACACGAGACGGAAAACAAACGGGATAATCACAGTCTCTGCATTGGAAGACCAAATGGGGGTCAATGACTCCGGGCGATTAGGTATCATAATACCACTGTTAGTCCCATCTGATGGAAGCGCTTCGCCCAAATATTAATTTTAAAATAATAGAAGTTCGTCTATGGTGCACGCGTGATGACCTCATGCAACGAAAGGCCCTGGCTCCGGTTTCATGCCTTCTTTTCTCTTACAAAGTGTGTCTATGTGTTTGCGTTGACATTCACCACCACCATTGCGCTTACCCTCTACTCAGGCTCTGGTTATGTCTATGTTTTGATGGCTAATGTCAATGGGATAGCTATGATGAGGCAGCCAGGATGGTGTGGGGACCGTGCATGCCGAACACCAAGACACTGAGGTGATCTGTGATCAGGCATCCACGGCTATTACTATCCAGATGAACCTTGAAACAAGACAAACGTCCATAGAGACCTCTCATAAATAGCGGAACACTCTGGTCTCCACCTTCCGAATTCTGTACATGTCCAGGTCGAAACAACTGGCTGTCGGGAGATCGAGTAAGTTGTACTTGTATGTACTTGTATGTACATGTACATTGTAGATCTCTGCATTCTTTGATTAACAGCTACATGGTACAGTAGTGAGGTGTGGTATCCCGTCAGAATAACTACGTTCTTACCATCAGGATACGTGAAAAGAGATTGCCAGAGGCAAGATGAGTGGCATGCATATTCGCGTCTGTGCCATAACGAGTATATGAGCCTTCATGGTCTGCAAGCTACTTTACGAAGCATAGTTACACCTTTCAGCCTCAACGATGCCGTTTGCAAGCGCTGCAGCAATGATTGAAAGCATACGCACGCCCGGCTTTGCCATAGGACAAAAACAGTGGCGGAAACGTCGCTGTTGGTGTAGGTACTTACATTCATGTACATGTAAACACAACAACAACAACAACAACAACAACAACATGTACTAGTATTCCTTGCGAGAAAGCATGTGCATGTACTAAGCCAATGTCACTCGTTTTCAGTCTGAAGCTGCGAACGGTAGGGGCCAGAGAGTTTTCAGAACTCCCTGCTAGTGCTACTTGATGGATGCGAATGAGTACAGTGTGCATGCTGTTTTAAAATTTAGGATTGTAAAATGACACTACAGTCCAGATATGTAGTGGTTACATTCATTACTAGTTGAGGAATGGAAAAGGGAAAAGTCTGAAGGGAAAACATTGACTGTCACCACCCGGACCTGAACCAGGGACCTTCGCTTGAGGCCAGCGATGCTCTAACCACTGAGCTATGGTGTAGCTGTCATTCCACTAGAGACCGTTCAAAATCAATTTTTCTTCAGACTTCAAAACTCCGGCTTCCTGTGATACTACACATGCTGGTGGGGCATTTTTAACCACTACACTTGTACTCATCTTCGTGCTAGTCAGGAGTGACGCAGAGTATAATGAAAGCACACTGCATGTGCTATAGTTATATCCATATTAAAGTCACAAAGCAGAGTTACCGTTGGCTTGCGAGCACGTGTGAACTTCTTGTATTTATAAGTTACATGCATGACTGTACATGTACATTTTCATACACACTAAACGTACTAGTACTAGTACGGATCATGGTACTGTAGCAGGAGTCACAAGGTCATCAAACTAGTACCAAGGAACTATGATACTTGAGAACTTAACTTGGGGATAGAATTACTTTTTCACCCAGGTGAGAAGGGGGCTTTGATTAAATCATTTCTGAAAGCGCGCAAGCATGCATTTCGGAATTAGGAAAAAAAGCAACGATTACGATGGAAGAAATATTGAATATTGAAGAACGTGATTACAATGGAGATAAACTACATACATGTATACATACTTTGACTTTCTGCAGCCTGGGCGTTACGGCTTACAATAGGTTAGGTGGGTGAGATTTTATAAGGAAACATTTCAAAACTGTGTCGGTGTGAAGAAATCCGGTATTGGCGCTGTTCACATCAGGGGTCGTGAGGTCTGCCCTACGCACTGTCCAGCCGTCCACTGGCTGTACTTGCGAGACCAGAGCATCCAGGCAGTGCCCCAGCAGTCGTTACGCGCCTGCACCGTCATTGGCGCCAAGCATTCCTTTGGCAGCAGACTGGGGAGTTCTGGAGACAAAAACCGGTTGAACAGCAGGAGAAATTGGGCATGAGATTGTGCTTCTGAATATGGTCCAAATACGTCATCCTCACAGCGCACGTGTGCAATAAGGTATAATTTACACGGATAAATGTATGTTAATGTGAAGTACATGTCCGTTGTACATCATTCAGGAAAGGGGTAAAGTAGCTAGTCCCTACTCCATAATACACGTCGTTTCTTCTTCATGTTTTCTAACACTTTCCCACCAGAAAATATCATGTAAGTGGGTGCAGAGTGTAGCAGCCAGCCCCCCCCCCCCCCCCCCCCCCCGGGACCCTTTACCCTGTTATCCTCACTAGCACGGTGTATCTGAACACTGAGTAAAGAATGGACGGTGCAGAGATACCCAGTGCATGCTGTGGAAGTAAGTAGCTTCTCTTCTTGACTTGCTAGTGCACGCAACAGATGAAGACTATTGAAGCAGATCTTGCAGCACAAGAATGATAATGAATGGTGGATAATTCTTAGCAGCATGCTCGCGCCACACTGGCTTACCGACGAGCGGAACGGAGGGGTCCAGGATCGGGTCGAGGGGCAAGCCAGCACCAGTGGTGGGTGGAAATGGAGTTTCCTTGGTGCCGAAAGGAAATGATGCTGTGATTGCTGCTGCTGCTGCTGCTGCTGCGGCCGTGCCCTGCTGGGTTGCCGCCTGCCCTGTTTGTGTTGTCTGGTCTGATGTAGTGGGCTGTCCAGTGGCAGCTTCCATGGTTGAGGCCAGCGCGGGCAGTTCGGTGCTGTTTGCTACCTTTTCTAACCGCTCCGTTGTGTTCATATTGTAGGTGGCTTCGCCGGTGGTGACTTCAGTGGTTGCGGCTTCGGTGGGCATGGCTCCGAACATGCTGTGTTCAGTGGTTGCGGCTTCGGTGGGCATGGCTCCGAAGATGCTGTGTTCCGTGGTTGCAGCTTCGGTGGGCATGGCTCCGAACATGCTGTGTTCCGTTGTTGCGGCTTCGGTGGGCATGGCTCCGAACATGCTGTGTTCCGTAGTTGCGGCTTCGGTGGGAATGGCTCCGAAGATGCTGTGTTCCGTGGTTGTGCCTTCGGTAGGCATGGCTCCGAAGATGCTGTGTTCCGTGGTTGCGGCTTCGGTAGGCATGCCTCCGAAGATGCTGTGTTCCGTGGTTGTTCCTTCGGTGGGCATGGCTCCGAACATGCTGTGTTCCGTGGTGGTGGCGTCGGTGTTAATCAGCTCTTCCGTGGTTGCCATTTGTTCAGCGGTGGGCAATTCTGTTGCATTGGTGGCATTGGTGGCATTGGTGGCATTGGTGGCGGACACTACTGCAGCATCGGTGTTGATTGTTGGGTACGTCTCGTAGATACCGCCTGGCCTTCCGAATACGGTCTTGCTTGTTGTCTCTCCCTGGAAGTTAGATCCGTCAGTGGGCTGCACGAGCGAGCTGGTCTCGGTCACTGTGGCGTTGCTTGTGCTGGTACTGTTAGTGGTGGCGTTGCCGCTCACATTCGCACTCACATTGCCTACTGCTGATGACACAGTTGGAGGAAGTGAGCAGAGGTTTGAGTTGCACAGGTCCATGCTGGCTGGACACTCTGAGCACGGCGTTCCTTGCTCATACGGTTGCAGTCCGCGATGAATCACGCCCCTAAATAATTAAACACCAGAAACGATGAAACGATTCAATTGCTGTCCTATAATGGTGATCTTGCTTACAGAATCAGTCCTGAATGTTGGTGCGAGCGGGCACGTACATGTAGATACCCATAACAAGCACGGCGTAATGCGTTTCGCCACGATTCATACGAGCATACAACCACATGCATGAACTCTGGGTGGGGTATTCCCAAGAATATGCATGCGTGTCGTTTAACCGCCCCGGGAGAAGTGGGGAGGTGTGTGTGTGTGTGTGTGTGTGTGTGTGTGTGTGTGTGTGTGTGGTGGTGGTGTGTGTGTATGGGGGGGGGGGGGTACATAGTACATACTCTTTGTATTCCCTGGTTCAGATCATATCAAGTATGCACAACACACAGAGCCTGCCTGCCTCGAGTGTGCAATAACGTCATTTCTGCGCGCGTGTCCGTCAATGGAGCGGTCATCGGCTGAAGAAATGCTAGACTTACTTTGGCGTGTAGTGACACACGAAGAAAGTAGCATTATCAAGGGCCATTCCGAGAAACTGGAACTTCTTGCAATCAGCTACGCCACATCCAACCTCATCGGACTCAGCGGACACAAGCTGTAGGTCAACAGAGAACCATGGCGTGGAAGAATTGTTAAAATACATTACATGTATGTCTGCTGCCAGACCAACGCGGCTTCGTTACAGATCATTGCCCTTGCTCGACGTCATGGTTTGGGCCAAAAACGCACCGCATCCGATAACCTGACTCAAAGAAACTCCGAAAACAAGCACACATGCTGCTCCTGGTGATCCTAAATTTTCACATTTGTTTGGATAGGTGTCATCAGCAGCTAGCTCCAAACAGGCCCAGGAACCGACTTCATCTGTCACAACACTCGTCATTAACTGAAGTCAGGTAGTAATCTGATTAGAGAACACATCCGTATTGATTTACCATGAACACCATTGGCCCGGTGGCAAATACACTGCCGACTGTGGGGGATCCAGTTCGGATTCCGTTCCCCTTCCATCGACATTCTCCCTTACGTACCTAAATCGAGGGATTCAATAATATCTTTCTCCTGATTCGATACTACTTTGTGTAGACTCGACTTACTTGTCGATAGTGGGTACAGGTTTCCTTCGGTGCGCAATATCCGCTGGTGAAGTTGAGAAACGCCGACTCCGCAAACCACTCGTGCACGAAGCGCGTAGGCTGAATGTCCGCGGTCATATCCGATCCGAAGCGGAATCCCAGGTTCTCTCCAAGTCCGGTGGGGAATTGCGCGGCGGCCACAGTGTTCGGAGCCCACTGACATGCCTCGGAATGAGCCTGAGCGATCTCTGCCAGGCTGTCGCTGTACGTCTGCGAAACAACACAAAACGAAAATAGCCAGACGTCATGAGCCACTCTTCCTGCATGGTATTATAGAGTTCATGCATGATCTGATTATAACCACAGTGCATGGCGCGTAACCACTACCCAATAGTACCAGGAGTAAATAATCTCCCAGCTTCGTCAGTCTTGGCAATACAAGTGAGCTACTGATGCTGCTATTGCTTCATGCAGGCAGACGGTAGTGGCCTGTGAAAATACCAGCAATGCGCGGGTTATACACTTTGGATATAACCCGCGCATCGCTAGCGCTGTAGAGTTGCAGATTTCATTAAATTTCTCATCTGCAGTGATTGTTACAGTTTGAGTTGGCGTGCAAAAAGTCGATAGGCTTGATCCAGGGAGTCATAAATTTATATGCCGGTATTTATTACTCCCTGGTTTGATCCACATATTCAGCATAATTATAGCCGCCATGATGGTAAAACTGTTGCAGTGGAGGTATTGGTAGGTAGTTGTCGACAGTTGCTCTCTGGTCCTGCCACACTAGAAGTGGCTATGCAAGAAAGTAAGGATTTGTTTGTTCATCGAAAGGTGCGGACGCCATTGAAGGTGACTATAGTCTCGGGGCAAGAACATGTGTAAACTTGTTGGTTGACAGCATGAAACAAGGACCTTACTCCTTAGGTGGAGGATGTATAATCTTCTAACTCGACCACAAGCAGACAGACCGAGTGTGTAACGATGGGTGTCTGGCCAGTCATCGGCCGAAGACAATTAGGTCGCTTTATAGCCCATTTGTACTCGCCAATATGGCTACAACAGTAGACACCTCTCTCTGAGTCCAGCCAGAGTCACTCAAAGGACTGTTTCAGATCCGATGAGGCTCCCGTCCAGCAAGCTGTTGACGCTGCCATTGGATCTAGCCTTTGTATTGAGGGCAGCATGTGCCGCATCGGTCGAACTGGGATAACTCGCCACCGGCATACTGCTACAGCTACTGCAACTACATGTATCATGGCTCTACCACTTCTGCCACTACTAAGTACTATTACATGCAATGGTATCCAGTACATGTGCATGCTGAACAAACACATACACGTACATACACAAACTGTGCATGCTACCATTGCACAAGACCACAGTCGGCATTGCAGTCTAACAGTTACCGGTACGAGAGCTTGGTGGAGAGGTTCCACCGCCAACGAGCACTTCGCCACAGGACGTAGGTATCTCACTGTCGCTCGAATTCTTTCTCACCGGCTCGGCGATCAAGTTATACATGGGTAGACGCTTGGCGGTGGACGCATGTCGCCGGATGCCCATCGTGTTCTCGCCCGCCGATAGCCGAGCACATTCTTGAGCATCTACACTACATTGTACATGACTACAAATTACAATGTCATGTACTTTGGTTTGCCCACTGGGCCAGGATCAGTACCACAACTGCACAAGTACATGACATTACATGAAGCCTCCGGCGAGTCGGGGTTTCAGTTTGTTGTGTAAGTGAGTTGTGGCACATTGCTGTGGTATTTTTCAATCACTGACTGACCCTGGCCTGCACGACCTTGGAATCTTTGTGGTATTCACCTTTATGGTGGTGTGGATCTTGAGGGCATGCATCCGTTAATTATTCTCTCTCCTCATCCATAATGCTCTCTGCGATGGAAGTCGTGCTAATCAGCACCAAACCAAACTTAGAACCAGGCTTGTAATAAAATAAGCAGGCAAATCGCTGGCAAAAGCAGGCCACGTAATGCGATGCCCGATCAGTAGAGTTCCATAATGCTCTCTGCGATGGAAGTCGTGCTAATCAGTACCAAATCAAACTTGGAACCAGGCTTGTAATAAAAATAAGCAGGCAAATCGCTGGCAAAAAGCAGGCCACGTAATGCGATGCCCGATCAGTAGAGAACGAGAATGACTGAGCATAATAATTACTAGACACCACCATTAATGATTCGAGAGGTCGTAGATAGGCTAGTCGCTCGTGTACACGGAATTATCTGTACTATTGGTAAGGAGGACACAGGCCATTCGACCTGTGCGCGACCGCAATATCAGAGGCAAGTGCATGTTGAAATGGTTGGTATTCTCACTATGTTGATTAACCGACATCATTGTCACGTGATCAGTCTCCATCCCCGACTTCTCTTAGTCTTAAAGTGTAAACACTACTCATGTAAGTGAGACATAATTATATTGTAAGGCAAGCTCGTCGATGAAACATATATCCACTTCCCATGCACCCCCTCGGCTATAGCCTCAATGAATCAATAATAATCGCAGACTCTATTTACCGATCACTGATCATCAGCGACAATTGCCTCGCCTCTCTCTGGCACTCCTAAGGATTTCCCATCAAACGTGAAACGGGGCCTGATGGCCGTGCACGGAGCACAGCGGGGAAACATAATTATCTCAAATACATCCGTGAGTAAAACACCTCCGATAAACACCTGAAGAGTCAGCGGGGGCAGACACTGTCTGTACGTTGACGCGCCTACGGTATGCAATGCTCTAAATCCATTATCGATTTGATGTGCGCACGCTGCTGGCCATATCCCCTAGCCCCGGACAGTACTCAGTACTCAGTACTCGGGGGAACAATCTTTTAAAAATGGATAATCTGCAAGTAGTTCCTTGTGGTCACGCCGATCCTTTAATTACTATCCCTGAGACAGGAGAGGGCGATTCCAAAGCTATCGCTGCATACGAGGGACTCAAAGCCTCGCTCTAGCTTATAATTCGAATAGCTGATGGTAATTGGGATAGTGTTCCAGTTGATTGCGGTATTCCACGTCCTATCCTACCCCGTCATTCCAGCGACACGAGGAAATACTCGTACTTGACCTAGCAGCCCCAGAAACTCTCTCTCTTTCGGCTTGTACCAGTGACAGCCCAGTGTAGAGATGAACGCCATAAGATGAGGCTGCACGATAGCAAGCGTGGCTTGGTGACTCGGGATAATTGTCGCACCCACTTCCAGGAACTACTAGTATTCCAAATGGTCGACACACTGGAATGCATTTAGTCCTACAACAATATGTACATTGCTCTGAAAGGTATATAGCAATGCTCAGGGGTGCATGGTTGGCCAAGTGGTTAGAGCATTGACCTTATTAACATGAGGTTGTGAATTCGATCCTCAGATTGGGCGAAGGTTGCTTCTACCTCCAACAGATCCATCAGTGTGTCCCTGGCGCAAGTTGTGGAGGAAACTGCAGCGCGGGAGGAGGTGACAATCGACCTTACCCCGGGCATGTGGAGCTCATTGAAACAAGAGGTTCCGAACAACTCCTTCCCCTATACGGTCATTATTGACTACGGGCTGCATTTAGTAGCCATTTACCCTTTCCTTGCATGGCGCATGTTGCATGTACGCACTTAGTCGTTGTGTTCATCATCTAAGAACGCGATCAGGGAAAGGGCTCGTTAGAGACATTTCGCACGATGACGTGACTCGTCTTTGAAAAGCTTCTAGCTATCGTGGTGCCAACTGTATTATCTTGCATTGTATTCGTCCTCTCTGTAATTCTCCGGTTAGGTGGACGACGTGAATCAATTGGTCGGCCACATCTACGAAGCGCCACAACGAGCCAACCATAATGCAGGTCGCAAGAGCGTTCTCAAGACAAGTGGTAGGTGCATAAGAATGCCATGGTTATACATCGGTTACCATATCTCTTTTGATGAACACCCATGTCCAAGCCCAGCTGACAGACATGCTGCTGCCCCTGAGCCGGCCCACCACAGAATCCACCACCAACATCATGTCAAACACTCCCAGGCCTTCCAATTGTCAAACCCCCTCCCCGCAACAAGTCCTGAAGATGACCTAACTTTTTCTTCTTTCCTTCTTTTTACCCCCCCCCCCTCCCCCCTTTGTGCCTTTTTGCACAGAAAATTCGCGGGAGGAAAACGAATCAACAGTTACACACCAGTAAAATGGAAGCCACTGGTAAACCCGACCCGGTGAATCCGACCTGGTGAATCCGACATGATCTCTTCGCTTCATTACTCTTCAGAATCGGGACAATGCATGGTGACGACCAGTCAGCAAACCGTTCGCAATGTCATCTTCTTTCCAGCTCAGTTCTGCTTGATCAGAGAAGTAACTAAGTACACTACTATTAACAGTGCAAGTCTCGCCCAGCTTTACATGTGGAGCAGCTTATAACACAATCGTACCGATCTCGGAGAACATGACAGTACTGTAATTGTGCGGAGGGTCTTACAGGATATGCCAGTGCTGTAGCTTCCTTGTTGTAGGTGTACTGGCAATTAGTCATTGGCGGATAATGCCGGCAGAAAATTGGTAAAAATTGGTACTTTTTCTGGTATGTTTCATTCATGTTCGGTATGCGGATAAAGAAATGGAGCAGATTGCAAGGGTCCACGGAGAGCCTGCCATAAGGTTTGTATGCTTATGCCAATTTTACTGTTTCTTGAGCAGTATCCACCAAGGCCTACTGCCATTACTTCTGTCTGAACACGACATTGTAGTTACTACTACTAGTACAATCATGTACATGTACAGTCATGACTCATGTATGACGCTGAACGTTTACATAATCGCCTTGTGCAAGAAGAGTGACTGGTAAAGCTATGGAGCCACTTGCGTGACTTTCTAGTCATGTAACTACTAGTAATCATCACGCATGAGTACAGCCTTTAATAGTGTTGCTTCGTACTTTGTGATTTGTTTAGGTCACATGTACATACATCATGTACATGTAGGTACAATAAGACATGTAGCCATATGTAGGCACGTTTTTATTTGAATTCGCAGAAACAAAAGGGGGTGTCGCCCGATTACATTGAAGCGAATAGAATCAATTGTGTACAGTCTCGTGTCCTGTTCTGTTTGTCTTCTCACTTCTGCTCGGAGTCCTGTTGCAGTGTTGGATCACTGGTGGTGCACTATGACTAGTCGACTGTGGTTCTACCTCACACCCGGACTATCATCAATGACATAGACTGACATTAGTACCAGTCCTACTCGTACTGTGTACGTCATCATCCGGGCAAAGCATTCTACTCCTCACTGCAGTGCACTCAATGGTGTGGCTTCCTGCCGTGCTCCCAATTCTCCCAATATTGCGCACCCAATACTTGTATAGAGCATACACAGTCCGTAGAATCGCATCTGTGCCGCCAAAAAATCCTTTACTGGAAGCCTGATATACAGCGGACTGGTGTTCCAGTGGAAAGCTCGTGTACCTATTTTTGACCCCGTGGTCTCACCTGCCTTCTCCATACCAACCAAACCCGGCTTTATGTGTTGTTAGGCGGCGGAAAAGACATCGAGTCGGCACCGTGGCTTCTTCAACACTGCACTGTGGATGGTGATCAGTGACACATGTACGCTGCGCATCTTTTTAATTGTCACCATGGGATGTACTCGCAGAGGGTGGGAAGGTGTATTGTTCAGTAGTTACCAGCAGGGAGTTCAAGGCATTGGCGTCCCCAAGTGGCAATGCACTGTGAGCTAGAGCCCATTACTGAAGGTTTGTTCTCTGCTGAAACCCCTCGCGGAGTCCCATCCCACTGTTAGTCCTGCCTTACATGTAGCCTAGCTGATAGCTGCACACCTAGATGACATAATTGATACTGTCTTGATAAGCATCTTCACTGAGTGTATGGAGATTTACAATGATCTACATGACTGTACATATATGGTATACATGTGTACACGTGTGCATATGTATAGGCACTACAGCCAGTGGATAGCAATTGAAGAAGGTTGAATATACAATGGATCACATGCCCGGCCACTCTTGATCAGAAGTACACCGGTTTCAGTTTCCCTTCCAACATTCGAAGTCGACTCCGATGTGAACGACTTCCTTAGTGCCTGTCCGACTCCTGCTGGTATGAACGAGCAGCAGGTCTACGTGTGCCTGGAAGCAGAGCTTCGGCGACGTCTTGCTTACATACAAGCCACATGCTCCTCTAATAACAACCGACCTGTGCAATGTGCAGTGTGCAGTGTTGCCTTGGAACTGCTCCTGACTCTTCACACACATAGTCCGCAGGCTTTCCGCTTACGGCAGGTTCCCTCACCTGTACTTAGGTCAGAAGGTTATCCCAACATGCTGGAATTTCCTTCCACCAAACGATCAGCCACGTAGACACACGCAGGACCTCTTAAGTTAGGTTTGCTTGTTGCCTAGCTAGTGTGTTGAAACACAACATAGAACTAGAAGATGGCAGACATCAGAACGCATGCAGGTACAAAGACTCTAACGTTACTGCAGGGTGCATGCAGCTACTGCAATCATCGACTACGTGCATCCTTACCAGTTTCCTCATGTTGGCCGCCGTTGGATGCACCTCTCCACGCAGGGCATTGTGAACGTCCAGGATCTGCTCCTTTTCCAGATCGGTCAGCAGCGCATCACATGATTGCAGTAATGCAAAGGACACTAGAACACTACACACTGCTTCTCTCAGGTAATGATGCATGTTTAGTAGAGGAGTAGAGGAGTTGTGCTGCACGTCAAATACACAGTCAAGGTACACCTAGGCCTCCGCACAATCCAGGGAGAAGGAGACGAACAGCAAGTTGTCCACTCACTACCAACGTCTTGTTGTTCTAGAGCTTCTAGCAGGAACTGTCAGGATGCAACTTCTCCGTTTTGAACAAAATTTCTCCTCACCTATGCACGCTGTTCGACAAACTTCGCCACGTTGTTGGGCTTGGTGAGTGTCGAATGTGAAACCGCTGCAAGGCTGCCAGCGCCGCCGCTAGTAGCGCTACCCGTCCCCTTGCTGTCGTCATGCACTTCAATAGTTCAAGCCAGTGTTGCCCCGTGCGGATGTCTGGTTCGAGACCTGTTGCTGTGTGCGGAACTGGCACGGTGGTCTGTGGGGCACTTTCGGCGTTGCTCCCGGCAACCCAGCAACCAGTCGGTCAAGACAGGTCTCAACCGTACCTATCACCGGCTCCACGCGCACACGCATTGCACGACTGGACTACTGGTTCGTCGGTGTAATGCTTTGTCCTATCCAAAATGCTGGTTTGTCTTGATAAAGAAGTGCAATCAAGTACGTACATGTTTTCGCCGCTTGGTACGATTACTAGTAGACCAATGACAGTGCTAGTGCAGTGGGAACACTGGCCAGAGGATGTGGTGCAAACAAAACATGAATGAAAGCCTCGGTCGCACCATGCACATCAACCTAAATCGCCACCTTCTTCTCTTGACTCGTATCCGATGCGCCGCTTTACCAAAATTACCATTCTCGCACCCCCCCCCCCCCCCCCCCCGTGCGCAGCAGGATTGAAGAGTTCGAGTGTAAAATGTGTTGCCCCGTTATTGCTTTCCTTACAGGGCATGTTCGTTGGCTGCCCATGAGCGTACCTGTCAGGCCAAGATATGAGGTCATGATGCAGTGACGACCACCCCGACGACCACCCCGACTGTACCCCGCCCTTTCTGACAGTGTATGCGACCACTGCACGTACCCAGCACTTCATATGGACTAGTTTAACGAGGCAGTGTCGTGCAGAGGACTTTAGAGGTTTGCGGAGACAGAGAAATGACGTAACTCCCGTGCCCTGTGCATGCGTGATCTCTGCATGCCTAGTTGGATAGCCGGTATGTCCTGCGCGTTGTCATGCAACCACGTGAACA